CAGCGCTGGCGGGTGCTTGTTCAGAGAATACGGTGAGGCCGTGGTATTTCTGTCAGCGCTCGCCAACCCGCCGCCGGCTTCTGGTTTGGGGCTGGCATCTTGAAACGGGTCACTTCTGTCTATTTGGAAGCCTTCAGTAGTTGTCTCGGAAGCATAACGGGGTGTAAGTGGAAAGCGAGCTGTGGCGGAGCTCTTGTTTTCCTCTTCTATGGTGAACAACAGCATAATTTTCCTATTTTTTGTAGGTAGTGGCAGGTCATCGTGTTTATGTATTGACACGGCATCTTTGTTTTCTGCAAAGTGAAAGTATCTTTTAAGAAGTCTGGTTAGGTTGGAATGTGACATTTTAAGTTATCTTTAGTCTATACAAATTTTGTAGCCTTCTTCTAGTTCTGTAATTAAAAAGTTATCTCTTTCGGTATATGTGTGACACCACTGATACTAAATCCATTAATCTTTGCAGGTAATCATGGATCAGGTAATGCAATTCGTGGAACCCAGCCGTCAGTTTGTGAAAGACTCCATACGACTTGTTAAAAGGTGCACCAAGCCTGACAGGAAAGGTAAAGCACACAATAAAACAGAACACAATCCTTGTTTCATCTTAACTTTTACTGTGTAACTTTTCGCATGTGACTTGATTTGTCATGAATGTTTCTCAGCTGCCAATATGAGATTTAAACCTGAGCAGATGTCCAGTTGTTAATGGGTTTATGGTTCTGGATTGGATAAACTTGAACGTGTCCTTTTCTGGTATGTACTCAGTCAGGTGTGTGGGAGTGGTACTAAAACTTACCTTATGAAATAGGCTAAGTAGCTGAAATTAGCCATTTTGAGGCAGGCAAGTAATAATTTTCCACATATTAAGTAAACTGATCTGAGAAGAACTTGTGTACACTTTGAAATGACAAATGCAGCAGTAAGGTTTGTTTGATTGCCGTCAACTTGGGGGAAATTCTGGAGGAAACTGCTTGTTACATGACCTTGGAGGAATCCCTTCATCTTAGGAGACTCGAAAGGAGCTAGGACTGCTTTTTGCAGGGCCTGTTTGGTGCTTCACAGCTGTCAGTGACTGCCTTATTGGGACAGGAAGAAATTCCTTGCTGGAAATATAGAAGAGAAGATTTTTGGACTTTCTCAAAGACATTAGAGAGAAGCTATAACTATAACCAGGATGGTAACTGGTTGTCCTTACTGGTAGTAGTTACGACGCTTTATTCATGTGCTCTGGATGAAGTTTACTGACGTCTTTTGAGATCAGTAAGGAACTTCATTCTTTGACAGACTGGCAGGATTGTGAGGGGCTGTTGGCACTCTCAGTCCGCTTCACGGTTCGTATTTTAAAATAATTGAGAATATCACTTAAGTACTTGTTTTTTGCGGGGATTTAAGATGCTGTCTTCCTGTGACAAATATAAATGCAGCTTTTCCATTTTTGATACTGTATCGATCAGTATTTTCAGGGCTTGTAAAAGGTACAAAGGAAAGATAATGGAATAAACGTTCCATGAATTGTTATGGATCATGGGTATTTCTGATTCTGCTTACTACTTAAAATTACTGAGATCAGCTATGCTTTGTGGAAAGCAGTATCTTTTCTCTTAAAATCTCATCTCTCTTCTGAAAAAGTGGATTTGTTTCTCAACGTCAATGCAGTTTGCTTTTGAACTGCTCCCTGTGTTAACATGGATATTTTCTAAAGAGAGATCTCTCATTTGGTCACTGTAGTGCACGTCTCCTCTATGCTACGCACGAGGTTTCCTAGACTAAAATCTTGTTTTGCAGAGTTCCAGAAGATTGCCATGGCAACAGCAATAGGCTTTGCGATAATGGGATTTATTGGTTTCTTTGTCAAACTGATCCATATCCCAATCAACAATATCATTGTGTAAGTAAATATGAACCTTCAATTTCACTAAATTTTACATTCATTTTTACCTGTTCAGTTTCAAATAGAGGATATTAGGGAGCCATACAGCATCCATGTTGCTTTAGTATTGGTGCATTTCACACGTTAGTGTAATATGACAGGGATTACTTGATTCAAAGGACTTGGTCAGGAAGAAGATCGTTAATTTAGCATACTGCAAAATATTACATCCATAGTACTTCAGGGTTTTTTTGAGTATTCTGCTTCAAAACTGAATGTCAAATATTTCGATTTCCAGTTCCTCAGTGTGTGTTTATCCATAGAACATTTACCTTATTTGGACCTTACATACTTTTACTGTGTCCAGTTTATAATTTCGGTATCCCAAGTAAATGCGTGGATGGTAAAGCAGAGAAAACTGAGTGACTGTGCTGGAAGATGACAGGGCACAGAACAAAGTTGGTCTTGTTTAATTTACCAAGTGCTAGATATGTTTGAAACTTTGTTTTATGTGTAACTGCTCTCTGTAAAATACCTTCTGGAATGAAAATTGCAGCATGAAAAACTTGACCCTTAAGTTGACCGGCAGCCATGGTACTGAAGTATTACCACTACCAATTAAAACTCCTCAGATTCTCCAGAGCTGATGTAATCCCTTTTCTAGCACTGGAACAGGTTAAATACTGTTCTGTGACCGTGACATGTGGCTTGCTTATACCTGTAAGAGCGGTCCTCTAGGCAAGGAGAAATATTTGAAAACCAGAGATAAGGTGTAATGGTAGTAACGTTTGTCCTAACAAGGCAATGGTGGGAGGGTAAATTAAGACTTCAGATGGGATCACTTGATCACGCTTGATTAGCTGAAACTGATTACTTTGTTCTCTCAACAGAGGCGGCTGAATATTCATCATGAAAAACAAGACATTGTGACACTTGCTGGAAAGATTTCACAGCTTTGTAACTTGTTTGCTATTAAACAAGCTCAGTTTGTGTTTTCAAACTTCTTGTCATCTTACTCCTCTTTTAAAGTCTATGTGATCATACCTGTCTACATTACAGGCTTTTTTTTTTTTTTTTTTAGTAGTAGAGTGGTGGTTTTGTTTTGTTGCTTCTTTCAACTGTAATAGAATCATTCTGGTAGGAAGGAGCCTTGGGGGGTCTCTAGTCCAACCCCCTGCTCAAAGCTGGGTTGGTTGTTGGATTCTGATGAGGTTGCTTAGGGCTTTGTCCAGTCAGGTATGAAAACTTCCAAGGGTGACAAATGTACAGAAGCTGTTCCAATGCTTCATTTACTGCTTTGCTGGAACAATGCTGTCTGCAAAAGTAGGCAGCAAGATAACAGCACTATTGGATCCTCTCAACTGGTGATTTAAAGGTTTTACCAACTGAAATTCTTGTCACTAATTTCTGGAATCACCATCATCACCCTTAATCCCTTTCTGCATTTGCAAGTCCTGTTAGGTTATATTATGTACTTGACTGGAAAAAAATCCCTCCATTAAATAAAAAACTTGCATTGCCAGTCCTTACTCTGATGGCATAATTAAGAAAACCAAACTTAGTTGGTTACTAAGATGCACAGTTTGAGGTTAATTTAGTTGTCAGAGATACTAAGCAGTCCTTCAGAGAATCAACAACTTGCTCACCCTGTTGGATGGGATACACACCCATTTTGGATACTGGTTCTGTAAGGCAACTGCACAGAGAATTCTAAAGGGCTCTGCATTTGTTGACCTGGAAGTTTCCGTTACTAAATGACTGAACATTTTAAAAATGAAGCCTGCAAAAACTCTGGTAGATGCAATGCTCTTCCTCCTCAGGTGGTGATTAAGAAATTTGTATTTCACTCCAAAAAGCTTATTATAAGCATTTGGTATTTGCAGAAGTTGCGACGCTACTTCTATTACAGACTTCAAAAGCACTCAGTACTGGGAAATCTGATACTGACATTACAGCAAAACTGAAGCTTCTTCAGTACACAAACTTGCTGCTTAAGTAGAAAAGTTCTTCTTCTTGAGAGATCTTCACCAGCACCTACGTATCTTACAAACCAGGATAGAAAAATGAGATTAACTACTCTTAGTGCTATATCACCTTTTAATACAGATACACTATGTGCAACTGTGTATTGTATTTTCTTTTGGCAAAAGAGGGAAAAAACAGTTCAGTATTGGACCGAAATACTATGTAAGAGTAGTCTGAACTAACCAGATAAGCACCAGCAGTTCCTTTACATTCACTTCTGTTTGTGATTGTGTTAGGTGGCAGCTCATGTGTCTTCTGATTAAGTAGTGTGAGGTACCAGAATGAAGTACTCAATTATTGCTACTAATCTTGATTTGATCTCAAGTGACTTTTATTTCAGACTTGTTTTCCATTCAGTACATAAAATCAGTGCCTGCTTTTATCTTTCGGAACAGCTTTACTGTCTTAATTCAGTGAAATTTTGCAGTAATTTGAGTTGAGTCAGACCAGAAAAGGCAGCTGTGGCTCATCTTATCTTTTGATGGCCATTGTCCACAGCAAAGGCTTGTCTGTCTCAATGGTCACAGTCCCGGAGTCGTCATAGGTATTGGAAGTACTGACGAGCGTTCCAAACTTCAGCACCTGGTTAGCTACAAAAAAATAAATAAAAGACTTAGTGGTACTCTTGAAATAAATGCACTGATGTGCATTTATTGTGAAGATTGCTGCTCCCGCAAAGAAGGAGTAAAGCAGCTGAGTAAATCTAACCCAGATAAACAACATCTGAAATAGCTACATTAAATATTAATCAGAAGACTTGTATGAGACTGTATCCGATGACCTGTAGAGGGAATAAATTAATACTTAATCCCTGAATTAGCATTTTGAGTTTACAGCAGATTATTACAAAAGCAAGATTGTCGAATGATCCCCAGGGTTTCACATCTGGAAATTCGTATTTCATTAGCATCAGCTCAAGTGCCGGTGCTAGACAAGGTATTTAAAGTAAAAGGAGGCGGAGGATCGTACCGTAGTTCCAAACACGGGATTTGCTTTAGCTCAGCAGCAAGCTTATAAACTCTTAAAATGCGAACAGTTCTACAGCAAAGGCCAGCAGTTAAAAGTGGTATTATTTAACAACTTTTGCTTTGAAGTAAGTGACTTGCATCTTTCCTTCTATGGCATGCCTAGCGAGGTAGGCGTCCACGTGCCTTAGAAACCAAGTAGCGTTACTGTAACAAACAGCTTATGTCAATTTAACACTGCTAACAGTGCAGTCATAATGATAACTTTGAAATACCTGTGAAGTTTAAAACAACTGTTCTGTATTGTTTTAGCTGACGTGTTTTAAGGGTTACACAGACTTCCCTTCAAGCTGAGACCAAAGACAAAATCTGTCCCCAAACCAAAAAAAAAATACCTGCAGTTTAACTTTTATCTCCCATTTCCTCCCCTTTGGAGATAGCATTGCTTGCATTTTGCAAACCTGAACTTCCCCAAAGGCACTCTAAGACTAGTCAGTTCTGCATTAGTCCTTGCTCATATAAAAGGTTCTATCTAAGAATTCTATCCTTTGTTTTAGTCTGTAAAACAAGCCAAATGACAGCTCTTACTCACTGGTCCCACTGAGGGTTACATTCCTGTGAAGGAGGCAAGGAGAGCTGCAGCTGGGGAGAATCGCTCAGGCAGATCAGCAAGCCTGTCTGGCCTGTCAGAATTGCCACATTATGCTGTAATTCGGAAGGAGGAATCCTCTGGATTTGCTACCAAATGGCCGACTGCAAATGGAGACCCCTGGGATCAAGAGGTGTGCAAAACAATGTACTAGCTCTTTTGTGATTTGCACAGGAGACGAATAAATATTCCAGTTGTGGATGTGAACATGGGCTATGGTAAACCTGGCTGTGGTAACGCATTATTACAGTGCATGTTACGCTGCCTACCCACTGCTGGAAGCTGCGCAGGCGGAATTGATCTTGCCAGGCTGCAATAGCTTGGAAATGAGAGGCAGTCTGACTAAAGGCGGGACATACAATGTGGTTTCACTGTCTCTTCTGCCAAATCTGTGCTTGCTACTTGTTCCTGTTCCCACTCTCGTTATTAACCTGAAACAAACTGAAGAGAAGGTTTCAGCTGCTTGCCATATCCGGTTGGAATGAGAGAATAACGCCCAAGTTTCACTACTGCTTTAAACTGAAGAGTCCTGCCATCTGAATCTCTCAGGAGTTTGAAGCATAACTGCAATGCAGTGCTGAACTTCAGCAAGGAGGGGGAAAAAAAAATACTGTACTAGTTCAATTATGCACCTAAAGTAAAGGTGCTAGACTCTACATCAGGATGATCTTGGACACAGAACGGTGCTAGTCAGGCTCCTAGACAAATGTCAGAATGAATGAGTTTTGGTGTTTGACTTTGGAAGAGACAGCAGAGGCCGGTGGGGTTGTGCCTTGCCAGAAGCTGATGCACTGGACTGAGTTGCCAGAGAACCCAGATTTCACCCTTTTCAGGTAAACAGGTCATTTAACAAAGATGAGGTAACACATGGGCTGAGTTCCCTGTGTAAAAATACTCCCAAAATACTGTGTTAAGTGTTACGCTCAAGTAGTTATGAATGTTTCCAGTCAGTTTTAAGTAGGAAAGAATCTAAATAGTTTAAAGTATTTGCTGACACACAAATTATCCATTTTTGGTTACTATATATTGAAGCTTGAAGGGAGGGGGGAAGAACTTTGTGGATCAACTCTTACTCTTCTGCTGTATAAACCCACTCATTTAGTATGATTGCTTCTTGCTCAAGACTGTCAGGATAATTTTTAATGTTCCAGCTTTGCATATGAAATAAAGGCTCTGTAGAAGGAAAGAATTAAGAACAACATGGCAGCTTAATGAACAAAATCTAAACCAGTATTTCTTCATGCATAAAATTAAGTGAAAATCTTGCCTTTTTTCCCCTGTAAATAAGTTCTTGCCCACTAGGTGGAGCCTTTTATCTTTCTCTACCAGGTTTTCTTCTCTGCAAGGAGCCCAGATTGAACTGCTGAACTGAAAAAATGCAAAAGCTCTAAACCAGCACTGCTGATTCACGTGGCTCAAATGGACCAATTCCAAGTACTTGGTTTCACAACCAGCCAACATTTCAGCTAACATAATTAAAAATGCATGCTTTCCATTCAATAAACGAACAGTAATTAATGTGAAAAACTAGGTTTAAGCCAGTAAAGGAAATAAGAGGATGTACATACCTACTGCTTCTAGGAAAACTTCTTGCTGTGTCATGCGTTATGAAGAGAAGTTTACAAGGTCAAAGAAGTGGGAAGTTTTATCAGTTCATACCTGATCCATTCCCTTTTTTTAAATGGCTTTCAGACTTACTTGTTAAGTCCTAGCAAGTGTTTATACCTTGGGAAAAAACCTATTACAAAAACCCCTCCATTCTCACTATTGAGATTATTTTTCTGAAGTGCCTTCCAAAGGAAACAACCGTTTGATTTTCTAATATTTGGTATTTATAGTTTTGATGGGTACCAACAATGATTTTAATAAAGGATTTCACATTGTGATTATTTTTTTTTTAGAATCTAAATCTCAAAATCCTTGGGGTTTTTAAAATTCTCTAATTAAAAGAACTTTTCTTTTGGATCACTGAAAATTTTCTTTTAGATAATTTTAGACAAAAAGTATTTTGTTTTTCATGACAACCTTCAAGAGCTGATTTGGTTAAAACCAGAAGTGATTCATCGAAAACACACCTCCCACCCCACCCCTTCCAGCAGCGTTAAGACATTTTTTCCCCTGAAGTTTTGCTTAGTGCGTTGGTTCCAATCTACCCAACTCCTCCAACGTTGCTATAATGTTTTTCACTACTCTCCACCCATAAAGTCAGCGTGTCTCGGTGGCCCTGAGCCTAGGTGGCCAGGCCTCCAAGGTGGGGGTCATGAGTGGTTACACGAGAAGGTAACTAAGTAGTAGTTCTGTGGTGTGGATTTGAAGTCTGACAACTCTGGACTTCAGAACTAAAAGCAAATGTTATTCTTGCCTTTTAGAAAAAAAAACCCCAAACCAAACCAAAACACAAACAACAAAATCTATTATGAGACAGGTTGTTATGATGTGTCCTATGCTCTTATCAGTTATGAAAGATTCTCATTTTTGTCTGATGGATTGCAATGTATCACTAATTCAGACCTAACCATGGTCATGGGCAGGGCTTATTCTGATGTGATCCTGGAGGAATGTTTTTCTAGCAGTTTTTATTTTGTTTAGCAAATGGTTGAATCTGTCAGGGCTTGAAAATCTTGGAAATAATTTAGAGAAGAAATCTGAGGGCTCGTAGGTGAGCCTCCCAAAGGAGCATCACCACAAAGATCATTATTTCTTAGACATCCCTTTTGCTGACCAAATTATATGACAAAGGTGGTCTCATTAACCCTAAACCTGCTCGTCTCCACTATTTTATTGCTTGTCTTTTGATACTTTTTTTTTTTTTAAATACATAATTCCAGGGATGCCATATGGAAAATGTTAATCTCAGATGTAAGATTTTGAAAATTGATGAATCTTACAGTTGCCAGAAGATTTGGAAATGTTAACAAAATGCACGCTATAAGTAATCAAGCTATATAAAAAATATCAAACAAAAAAGCCCAAACCTAAAATTGTAGTTTAAAAACTCTTATCATATTTATACCTCTACCATGACTGGGAGTTTTATTTTCTAGTTGACACTACTGAAAATGAGAGTAAGCCTTGCTTCCAATGTATTCACCATTGTGCTGCAGGCTTGCAGCCTGGAAACTGAGAAATAGCGTGGACTAATTATAACTGGATTGGGTCTCATCATATTAGGTGCTGCAAAACCAACAACTCTCAATATGAGGTTATTCCTCTTAATAACTGTATTCATGATCAGTAGACTTACAAACATTATTTCTATGACTTCATTGTACTATTTAGGATACTTAAAAGTTCAGTCCAGCACAAGAGAGCTTGTGTCAAGGTCTCATGTACATCTTAGAAGCTGCAGTTCAGCATGGTGTGAGGGAGGCATAAACAGAGAAAAAAATCTTCTTAAACATACTTCTCTACCAAAACCACAGTGAAATCTGGAGAGCTGAGAGAGAGGCTTTTAACCACAGTATCTAATGGTCATGCTGGAAGAGCAGGTGCAAGTCCTTCCTTACCAGAAGTAGATTTAGTGAAGGAAGTGATTTTGGTGTGAGAATGACCTAGCAGTCATGCCTCATGTCTTTATCCGAAGACACGTAGGCAAATGGAAGCCTTTTGGAAAGCCCTTGAAGGCAGCGACGTAGCACAGGAGTCCCCACTTTGTGGGATTTGACTAAGTCAGGGTCATACTACTGTGACCATAAACGGCTGAGAACAAAACACCGTCACGGTAAGCATGTCCCACATCATAGATACTGTGATATCTATTCTATGCTTCCTTGTCTCAGTCATGTGTCTCAATTACTTCCTGCAATATGTGAAGTCACATCTTGCTGATTTCCACTACCGAAAATAGAAATAGGTACAGAATACAAGCAGATTGCCACTGCTGGCATGGATGTTTGGAATATCAAAATAATTAATTATTAATTAAAAGCTTTATTATAGTGAAAGCAATCCTCTTCCCCCTAGGCAAATGCTGCAT